TAAAAACCAAGGGTATGCCAAGGTGCTTAACAAGTAACATAGAGAATAGAAGGAAGATAATAGAAATAGGACCAAAGCAAGTACTGGGTATGCAAGCAGGTAGCTGTCACTGATACATAGGAAAGCAACAGGTACAGAGCAAACAAGAAGTTAAATGAGCATAAAAGTGCATGATATAAAACCATAAAAGAAATATTAACTAGAGGGAAAGGCAAGATTGAATAAGTGGGTTTTTAGTCGTGATTTGAACAGTGCAATGGAATCAGATGCGCAGAGGTCGAGAGGAAGGGTATTCCACAGTACCGGGGCAGCCAGAGCAAACGCACGGTCACCCCGGGACTTCAGCCGAGATCTGGGTTGGGTCAGAAGTAGTTGAGTAGCAGATCTAAGTGTTCTAGCAGGAGTATGTGATTTGAAAAGTTCACTAAGATAACTTGGTACTAATTTATTAATAGTTTTGAATGTAAGGAGTAATATTTTAAATTGAATACGGTACTTTATGGGCAGCCAATGCAAGCTAGCTAGAACAGAAGTAATAGGGCAAAATTTCCTGGTACCAGTCAAGAGGCAGGCTGCTGCATTTTGAACATAGCAATCCAAAAATATGAATCATATTGTACTTTCCTCTCCTGACACATTCTTCTCTAGCAAAAGCTTTTACACATGATCCAGAGCTACTTAATCAACTTAATGGAAGATCAGAGTATCAGATACGGTTTAGCTGAGCCAGTTGGAACACCACCTATTATAATCCGATAAAATCTCAAAAACAACACATTGTGGAGAGCAGCAGGTGCACAAAGAAAAACTGAGAAGCAATCATACTCAGTAAAAACTAGTCAGCTTCGACATGTACCTCTGTGTATTGCAGAGTTCTTATAATGTGATTTTACTTGGAATTTAACATTTAATCCAAAATAGAATTTCTGCGTGTTAGCACTACATAGTTAGCTATATTATGTAGTTAGTATTATATGTTTAAATATTGCACATTGTCACATTTACACTCACCAGTCTTTGCCTTCAGAATTGCCTTAAATATTCATCTTCATGGTATAGATTCCATACTGACAAGACAGTAACAAAGAGATCCTTCAGATATTTTTGTTTTGCACGTCCTTGAAGGAAATTTCCTACAGGCGCTCTTTTGAACTGAAATCTGGTGACTGTGGAGGCCATTTGAGTACAATGAAATCATTGCCATGTTCAAAAAGCCTGTTTGAGTTGATCTGAGCTTTTGACATGATGTGTTATCCTGCTGGAAACAGCCATCAGAAGATGTGTACCCAGTAGCTATGTAGAGGTGGACATGGTAGGATGGAGCCATGCTTTCATGTTGTTTCTGCCTAAAATCAGAATTATGCAAAAGTAATCAAGACTTTAACATCAGGCAAAATATTTTCAATCTTTTGTTACCCAATTTTGGTGCAAATTGTAGCCTCAGGTTCTTGTTCTTAGCTGACAGTAGTGCCACTTGACTTGGTCTTTTGCCGCTGTATCTTACCTGCTTCAAGGTTTGACTTGTTGTGTGTTCAGAGATGCTCTTCTGCATCTTACAGCTGAAAGCAGTTTTACCTTTCTCCTCTGACCTCTGACATCAACGAGGTAATTTTACTCAGAGAACTGCTGTTCAGTGGAAATTTTCTCTTTTTGGTCCATCCTCTATAAACCCTAGAGGTGGTTATGTGAGAGAGTCCCAGTGGATCAGCAGCTTCTGCACATCTGACACCAACACCTTAAATCACCTTTCTCCACATTCCATTTGACCATCGGCACCTTGTTTTGACAACATCTGCATGCTTAAATGAACTGAGTTGAACAGGTGTACCTAATAAAGTGTACACACACACACACACAGATATATATATATTAATGAAATAGCATCATTTCATTATGATTACATTATTTATGTAATAAAAGGGAAGAGAAAAGGAATCACTGATGTATCTGAAATGTATACTTTGTTACTTTGTTAAATGTTGTTTGTTACCAGCCCCTGACTTTACTTTTGATAAACTACTACAATGTATAATTTCTTCTTCTAAACCATTGTATAAAAATGGGTGATTGAACACAGTTGTATTTATATTTAAAGCATCAGAATACCTATTTTTTTTAACCACAGCAGCTTGATGTACGAATCACATCTCCAGGGTCGGATTTGGAAAGACTTTCAGTAAGATTTTGTTGAGCCAATTACCACTGGTATACTTTGGATAATGTAAAAATAAATATTAATCTAATCATCTGCCTATCTTATTGTTACAAAATTCAGAGAAAGTTTTTTCAAGGAATCAACTTTATTTCCATACTCAAAACCATCTGCGGTGCTCATATTTTGCTGTGTAATTTGAGTGGAAATAATTCTGCTTCTTGGTGAAATAACTGACAGAAGAAAACTTAATCCTAAGTGGGTCTGTGCCACAATAAACCTGGTGGAAAGTATTTCACCAATTACGCTGAATGAATAGAAAGTTTTCTTTGTATTGATTGCCGATTAATCAGTGCTGCGTTTATTTTAGATTTTGAGGTGAATTTTTTGTGGTTAGATTTATTTTCCAACAGCAGAACCACAGCTACTCTTTTGAGAGCTTGCCTAAAAGTCATTGCAAACATTTTTCAGTCATTTGTGACTGTGTAAGGAAAACTGATGATATTAACCATCTCTGTGTCAGGAAAACCAAGTACTACTCTTGTAAATCCCCATCGTTCTTATGAGAATGGAACCTGCAAGATGAAGAAGATTGAAATCAATCTTTACTACTCATAATACTACTTTGGCCATCCATCCATCCATCCGACCAAAAGCCCAGACCTGCTTCTCCCCACTCACCCCACTCAGAGATATAAGAGTGTCCTGGGTCTGCCCAGGGGTTTCTCCCAGTAGGACATCCCCATAACACCTCAGATGGAGTCGGAGCTATACTCTGCTTAACTGCCTTACCCTTTACTTGTCAACAAATCAGCATTCAGTCAAAGCATAGTGTCATCAATGTCGAGCACTGTACAGTTGGGATTTTGGAGGACTGCATGGAAGCAGCACGTCTGCATTGATTAAAAACCCCACTGTAGGCTTACTGTAGGCAAACGCATCACTTTTTTTCTTGAGGCAGTCATTTTGCTTCCTTTTCAAATATATCACAGGTCCAAACATAGTCTCTTATCTGAGGAGCACAGGCGGTCAATTGTTGAGCTTGGCTCAGATTTGTTATGGCAGTCAGATTTAAAACACAATAAATGCATAGTGAGATCTGTGAGGGCAAAAATATTTCCCCTGGGCAATGACTAAAAGATAATGGATAATGGTTTTGTTTTGGAGTCAGCAGACCAATTTGTCAACGCTTTAGTGAGTGGTTGTCAGATTTCGAACATAGTTTCCAGGTACACTGTGTGGATGAATGCTTTTGCTACCATGTGTTTTCAGTGAGTGATGAGAGTCTCTTTGCCCCAAAATATTTTCATTGGCTGCAGCTTGTATTGCCATTTGACCTGAATGGAGAATATTGCAGTATTTAATTCTAAGCACATTGGGGAACTCCAGCCTACTCTGAGACCTGAGATGGCCATCGAGACGAGACATTTCAATATCAGTCTTTATCTACAAAAGACGTTTTTGATCAAGGAAAAGATCAGAGGTTTACAGAGACAGATGAATATATTGCTTTCAGGGATACAGTGTTAGAGAAAGATTTAAATAACTGAGGCCTGTCATAAAACATTGGGCTATTGTCCACACATTAGCTCACTAAATGCAGCCAGTTTGGAAAACTGATTCCATATGCAATACCAGTGTGTAAAGTTACTTTTTGATGTTAGAGTGTATACAGATTTACAATGATTTTATAGAGACGATAGGGTATATTTCAAGTCACAGCTACCTTGGATTCTTTAAGATAAAGTTGTTGTGATGGATGTCCTTGGCAGCAAGCACATTTACAGTCGTGTGAAGAGAAAGAACACCCTTACTGCTTCCACAGAAATTAAGAGGGTAAGTAGCAGCAAGAAGATGCTAATCAAATACACTGGTAACAGCAAGCATGAGCACCTCCATAAGAGGAGAGGTTTGGGCCGGTTGATGTTCTGAGGATTACCCATTTCCATAATCTTCCCAGCAGTACGCATCTCAGTAACTTAACACAAAGGTCAGTCTGTGCAATGCTCAAAGAAATTGAAAAAAGAAGAAAAGCTACATCTTAGATGCTAAAGACCTCAGTTAGCATGACAGTCCTATTAGCTTATGTCAGTACAGCTATTAAAGTCTGAAGAAATATTGTTTTTCTGGAAAAGTTGCCAAGAGAAGGCCACTTCTCTCTAAAAAGAACATGGTAGCCAAGTTCAGGCTTGCATATTTGTATCTGAACAATCCAGAAGCCTTCTGGAACAATGTCTTAGGGCAAAGGAGATCAAAGTAGAGACATTCGTCCATAATGCTCAGTGTCAAAAACCTAACAAAATATATCAGCCCCTCATACCAACTGTTTTAGTGCTAGCTAAAAAGCATCAAATGCAAATATTTAACACAACATAACACTTTCAAATAAATTATGGTTTTGCCTCACTAACCTAGCTAACCTATCAGCCAGCTAGCTAGGGCTGGCTAATATCTTAGCATATGCCCTGCTGGACTACTAACCTCTGTTACCCATATAGGCAGTCCACAAACTTTTGTTAAAGAAATAAGACGGTAAAAATAAAAATGTATAGAGCTATATATTTTGAATCTCAATGAGTAATAAAAAGCAGTACAAAAAGATTGGCAGATGACATCATACTGACACACATACACATCATACTGGGGTAGTTAGCAGCACTTGACTTTAATTTAATGTCATTACAACAAAGGGTGTAAGGAATGGAAGTGGCAGAGGCATGAAGTAGTATTAAAAT